AGTACCGCCCTGTCTCAATAATATCATGTACTCGTGTTTGGCAACAACGGATATAATCCACCTTATCGGTTCATCGCATCGGAAAAAAAAAGCGAAAGAATTTGGAACGATGTTTATTTTATTCAGTTCAGTTATACATACAGTCTGTGTCAGTCGCGTGTGAATAGTGTCTGTTGCGTGGCTCAAACGAAATAAAAAATGGCACATGTTTATGCGGATCGGTTTCCCAATCGAGTGCAATCAAATACTTGTCGGGAGGATACTTTATAAAACAAGGTAAACATTTTTTTTAATTTTTTTTTTATTTTTACACACATATTTTGGTTTATCTTCCTTCTACAATCATTATCTGAAAATTAATGACTCAACTTCAAAGTCACCCTGTATATATAATAATAGGAAAATAATGGGCAAAATCCGCAAAAAGTGGACTATGATATATATATATATATATATATATATATATATATATATATATATATATATATATATATATATATGGTTAGTTATAGTATATGCTCATATAGCTGGCGACAGCACCATCTATGAGGCATTGACATTCTCAAAGTAGATTTATATGTAATTATTGCAGATAGGAGAAACATAACTGTGGCAAGTTGTCATAGAGGACGCCAAGATATCTCAGGTCATCTCAAGTAGAATCAATAAACCAATGTTCATACTACTTTGCACCCAGCCACCTACGCAATCTCTCATAAATACATGTATTTTTATACCGAAGCAGGCACGTAGCCAGAAGCCTGAGAAACTTTGTTGATCCACTTTTTAACTGCCTGTTAATAGAACTGGGAAAAGCCTCCTCGGTCCGATTGTTGCGAAATCTCGATAGCCTAGGGACAAAGGAGCAGTCGTATCGACCAGTTATGGATGTACGAAGTTCGACACGGTTAGTATGGGAAGCTGATTGACATAGCGGTAGAAGAAAGCTAGATCACTAATAGTGCTAAAGGGTCCCAAGACTGCCCTTTCATCGATCAGTCAGACAGATGATTGAATTACACACAAAATTTAAGTTTTTGACTGAACTAATAAAAGCAAACCATGTCAAAGTATCTGGAATCAGCAAAACTGTACAAAGCGTTTCACTTACGGAAGTACTTGTTTATTTAATAGCAATTTTTTTAATCACTATGTAGGCCAAAGAAGTATTTTTTTCTAAATGGTCAGAGAAAAAATGTAGATGAATCGACGAGTGCTTATTTCTTCCATACTAATTTTACTTTCAGTTTTTCCAGTTGTTTTGAATGATAAAATTGCTGGAATTAACGCCACGCTTTCATTCTAAAAAAAAGTGGTATTCATTATGGACATTTAGTTTTATTGTTCCTAATAAGAAGTACATATGTTAAAGTTAGGGATCACGATAACAAAGTTCATTAAGAGCATTTAGACCTAATACAGTCTGCTAAGCGCACTAGAAGGAAGCAATTTAAAAGGATGAAAAATGATAAAATCGTCCTATAATCGAGTAGATTTAATAATGGGCTTTATTACTTACATTATTAGCATCTTTATGCGGCCCAAAGACTACAGCGTCACATACTAGAACTAGAACGTAATAAAACTAATCAGCCCGCAAGTTCTTCATAAAACTGAATAATTTGTAATTTAATTGAGGGTGAACCATTCTGAAACTACAATAAAAAAATAAACTTACAACATATTATTTGATTGATAAAATTCTTTAAAACAGTTTTTAAGTTCTGGCAGTATATCTACAAGGTAACTTTAAAGCCATCGTCTTGTTATTAAACCTCAAATAAACCTAAAACGTTTTTACGGTGCTACTAGGGCAAGCCACCGTCTATAGAACCAATCTTACATCAAAAACTTCCTCCAATGCTTCACTTTGTCAAGCGAGGATTCAGGAATGATTCTGGGGCAGGCGCAATGCTGGTCGCAGTATTCTTGGAGGGAGAGTGGGAATATCATGGATTGAAATTTGCAGCTGCATGGCTTGATAATGAATTCTAATTGGGCGTCTAAGGGGCGGGGAGGGGAGGGATTCTGCTCTACCCCTACGCTGCTGTCATAAGCCAGAAGACAGTATCTGCTAATTTCACATTTTACAGTAGCTATGAGAACGTGTTGTAAACTTACTCTTGTTGTATCATTTCAAGGGCAAAGTATGCTTTTTGTTTGTACTCGGTTAAGACTGATGATATTTTCTAATTAATTTTACCAAACTCTTGTTGTATCATTTCAAGGGCAAAGTATGCTTTTTGTTTGTACTCGGTTAAGACTGATGATATTTTCTAATTAATTTTACCAAACATGCCTATTTATAAATAAAAAAGCATACACTTCAGAATTAACTGAACTTTTGTTTCTTTAATCAGTAACACAGTAAGTACTAAGCCATGTTGTTTATCGCACGTTCGGTGTGGAAAAACCATTGTTATACATGGGAAATCATTTCTTAGCAACAGCGCATCGGCTCGTCTACTTTCATCGCTATTCGTACATATTTCCTACCGTTAACCGCAGACCTGTATCACGAATGAGAATAATAGGCAGATACGCTGTGTTGCCAATTTGAGTAGAGCTTCCCGAATTGTGGGGAATTCAGAGTTAAGTGTTGATTCATTCAAGCTTTTAATCAGCATGGCCTAGACGTTAGAACTTCATAAAGATAACATTGAAGCTGAATGCTGCTGGAGTATAGTGTTTCGAATATTCAAAGCGGAGCGGGACACTATACTCGTTCAATGGGTCATCAAGCCACAGTCTTTTCAACAAAGAAATTATTTTACGAAAATGCGTTATATTTTTACGATTTTGTCGTCACCAAATCTCTGTTTCTCAAAATGTACGTCTATTGTAGAAATTTCAGCAAACTAAGCAAGAAACGTGATCTAGTATTTACTCAACATTACGGATTTCTCGAAATACATTAAAAAATGTGACCTAGATACCTAAATGCCCCAAGCTCTTTAAATATAACACCTTAAACCAGGGTTACCCGGTGCTCAGTCACGTTGATTGTCATGTTGTACTGCGCAAGTCAGCAAACAATCTGGCGTAATAAACGTTAGGAATCATCAGGTATTGCCAGATTCCCGAATACTGGGCACCATAGTAACCGTTATAGTTGGCCTTCAAAGTTGTCAAATCGCCCCTATGGCGCAAATTCGCCACACCAGGCTATAAACAAACCCTGTTTATCACTACTATTTGATAGTCATATGGTAGTTGTAGCCATATCTAGCGGTCCATGATTTCTCTCAATACTGTTGTATCTCTACTGGCAACAAGAATAGGGATTACAAAATCATTTATACAACAATATACAAACATGAAAAATATGATTTGAACCATGAAACATTAATACAATTTTAATAGTTTGAAGTTTTTTCATTTTTGGAATACTCTTATGTGGAATCCGCAGCTATTTTTCCCGAAATTTGGGTAGACTTAGATTTCTTAGAAATATGACATATTGGTATCGGCAACTCTGCGAATGGGAGAAACAAATCGCATTTGTTGAGCGCATCCGTCTAAGCGGTAGGCGCCAGCGCCCGTTCTGCCATGTCTCTCTTTTATCACTCTTTCTCTCTACTTTACCCCGTTGTCCGTCACACTCCGACGCTGCCAGATAAGATCTTACAATCGAGTGTCTTTCACGCACCTACATACTTTTGTATATTTCCATCTCTCTTCCTCATCATAATGTATAATAATGGTTTTGCCATACTGTATAATCTTTAGTATATGAAATCTATGAAATTGTTTTACAATATCCTTACAAATATACTAAACGACCGACGGAATGTAATTAAAAATATTATGAATATTCGGTGTGATTAAGTATATCTATTATAGTACCTGCTAGCACCGTTGCTTTGGTTGTAAATCAAAACACAGTATCTGAATGCTTTCTAAGCAAGAATACAGTAAGTACGGGTCATTTACAGTGATTTAATCTACTCATGTGCAGATACTGTATTCCAATTTAAGATAATACGAAGGATGTATTTTAAGTTTTACATATAGAATCTTAACCTCGCTCTTTAGTAAACTTAAATTCAAAGTTTCACAACAATACGTGCAGTGTTCTCACTACAGTGAATTTTTAAGTGTCACCAAGTCATTAGAAAAATGGAACTCAACCGAGAACATTTTCGCGCCATAATTTATTACAACTTTTAGAGACAATTACCGCAACAAGAATGCCTTGCTGAGTTACTGTCTGTTTTCGGCAACAAAGCCTCACATCAGTCGACAATTTGCCGTTGGTGTGGAGAATTCAAACGTGGACGGGTGAGTCTTAGCGACGATCCCAGGGTGGGTGCACCAAAAACGGCAGTCACCCAGGAAAACGTCGATGCTGTGTGCAAACTCATCATTGAAGATAGACATGTGACATATCGCGAGACTGAGGCGTCCCTGAAGATCTCAAAGACCTCAATTCAAAAAAATTTACATGAAGAATTAGGAGTAAGAAAATTAGTTTCTCGTTGGATACCCCACCTGTTGACTGAAGAGCAGAAAGCAGCCAAGGTTAATTGGTGTCAAAAAACGCTTGACCGCTTCAATTCCGGAAACTCAAAAAATGTGTACAGCGTTGTTAGTGGTGATGAATCGTGGATTTACTGTTATGAACCAGAAAATAAACGACAGTCGGCTGTTTGGGTGTTCCAAGGTGGAGAAAAGCCAACAAAAGTCATCCGTTCTCGAAGTGTTTCGAAAAATATGGTCGCGACATTTGTGTCAAAAGCGGGTCATATTGCAACAATTTCTTTTAATGAGCAAAGACTTATTGCGGATTGGTATACCAATAAATTTTTACAAAAATAACTGTCTGACAAACTCCAAATTCAAATTTAAAGAAATTGATGAAATATTCATATATCAAGCTATCTCTGGTATTAAAACAAATGCTGCAGGCTGTGATGGCTTGAGTATCTTTCTAATAACACTTTGCTGTCCACATGTTATTTCTTATATCAGGCATATAATAAATTGTTGTTTGAATCAAAATGTTTTTCCAGAAGCATGGGGGAGTGCAGTTGTAAAAGTAATTCCCAAAAAGCTAAATCCTTCAGATTTTAATCACCTCAGAGGAATAAGCATTTTACCAGCATTGTCAAAATTATTAGAAAAAGCGGTTGAGTTGCAATTGATGGAAGATCTATCAAAGTTTTCTTTGCTTTCTCCAATTCAATCTGGTTTTAGAAAGAATTTCAGCTGTACAACTGCACTTCTACATGTAACAGATGACATTATCAGAGCCACTGATCAGGGAAGGTGTACAGTTTTGATAATGTTGGATTTTAGTCGAGCTTTCGATACGATCAATTTTAATTTACTCCTAAATATATTGCATTTTATAGGCCTCGATTCGGATAGTGTCAACTTTTTAAGTAAGTATCTAAAGAGCAGAAAGCAAAAGGTTTTCTTGGAGGGAAGTTATTCTGACGTATTAGCCTTAAAATCAGGCGTGCCGCAAGGCTCTATTATGGGTCCACTCCTTTTTGCAATTTATACTTCATACCTGGGCAAAGGCTTAAATACTTGCAAAATGCACTGCTATGCTGATGACACTCAACTGTATCATACTTTTCTACCCAGTGATGTGGACACTGTGAGTGCAACCATCAACAGAGATTTATCATTATTGACAAAGAATGCCGAAGAACATTGTTTGCATCTTAACTCTAGCAAATCTAAAGTAATTGTATTTGGGCCAAAGCATGCGCGCCAGGCTGTTACTAACTCAATTAACTTTACCATCAATGCACAACAACTTGAAACTGTCACTGAAGCAAAGAACTTGGGTGTAACATTGGATGTAAATTTAAGATTTGAAAAACATGTAAATTCGCTCATTCGTAAGGCATATTCCTGTTTAAAAATATTGTACGGCAACAGACGTAACCTTCCCGTTAAAGTCAAAATAAATCTATGTGAGTCGTTGGTGCTCTCGCACTTCAATTTGTCTGATATGCTGTATGGCCCATGCTTAACTGCCACTTACAAACAAAAAATTCAGGTTGCGCAGAATTCTTGCCTCAGATTAATATATGGCATCAGAAGACGAGACCGAATATCCCATAAGTTGAAAGATGCGAATTGGTTGAACATGGAAACAAGAAGATTTTTGCATGCCGCAACATTATATCATAAAATAATTATGTATAAGACCCCCACTTACTTATTTGAAAAAGTTACATTTCGAACAGATGTGCATAACATCAATATAAGATCCAGGGGGTTGCTGACACCGCCGATATTCTGAACAGCCCAATTTGAACGATCGTTCAGCTACCAAATTTGTTCCGTTTATAACACCCTTCCGGTACAATATGAGACTCTGAGCATCTCAAGTTTCAAAACTCAATTAAAAAAATATCTCTTATCCCAGCAGTAGTAACCTGTCTCAGGAAAATATTGATACAAATTTATGATTAATTTTAGTAGATGTATTAATGTAGGCAATGCATATACATTTAATATTTGTAATGTGTAGAATAAGTAGGTCTCACTCACCTTTTGTACGGACTTTTTTTATAGCGGGTTAAGTGGAAGAGCAGCTACAGCTGAACTTCGTCCGTATTTGGCTATTTTTTTATATAATCAGTCCATTTGGAAATAAAGACGTTTATTATTATTATTATTATTATTTGTTGCCAAAAATCATCACCGAGCTTCGAAAAATCAACCCTGAAAGAAGAATTATCCTCCACCAAGACAATGCAAGCTCGCACACAGCCCAAAAAACAAGGCAGTATTTAACGGAAGAAAACGTGGAATTATTGAACCATCCTCCATATAGTCTCGATCTAAGTTCTAACAATTTCTTTACTTTCCCGAAAATTAAAAACAGACTGCGTGGTCAAAGGTTCCAGTCACCAGAAGAAGCAGTTGACGCATTCAAAAATGCCGTTTTGGATCTGCCAGCAAACGAGTGGAATAAGTGCTTCGAAAATTGGTTCGAGCGCATGCAGATGTGTATTAATCTTCGTGGAGAATACTTCGAAAAGCAATAAAGTCGTTTAAAACTACCTATCGTGTTGTTTTATTTCCATATGCAAAACTTGTATAATAAAAATGCTAGATACTGTAAAAGAAATATTTTTGATTTTCGGTCGTCGGGTCATAAAATATGCTTCCTCTACGTGTCTTTCATAGTACTCGTACAATGACATCTCATTTTCCCATTTTTTGCACTTACGTCGTTCTGGCTTGTATGTCGGCAGTATGGTGACTCTACCTTCCAAATTAATTGCGCCAACTATCCATTCACCCGGTCGGAAACGCCATACCAATACGACACTGGTGCCGTAACGAACCACCAATTTCATTTTAGCCTGCCCAACGGTATTTTTATGTGAATGCGCCATAAAGTTCGACATATGGGATGCGGTTACGTATTGTTAACTTTAACGTATTCTATTTAACCCATTCGATCTGGTCTCGTGAAATTTTCGTTTTAGCGGCGGGCAGCGGATACAAGGGGCGGTCCCAGAGCTGAACAAAAAATGTCAGGCCGGTTTTTGTAATATTTGTGTATGATAGCAAAAAGTTATAGATTGTAGTCATCAAAATAATAATAATAATAATAATAATCGACTTTATTGGAAACATGCTATACAGATAGACATATGATCCAAAAGGCGGAGTTCACAAAAATAGTGTTCTTCCACTCAACCCCGAAAAATTGACAAAAAAAACAAAGAAAAAGAAAAAATAGAAAGGACAAGAAAAGAAAGGTTTTGTACAAAAAAAAGTATACCTACATCCAAGTATCCGAGCGTAAAAAAGCATGGTCATGCATTTCAAACGCATACATAAATACATATATAAACTAGCAACAATTTGAGAATACCAAGTTGAACTAATATCAAAAAACTTAATCAAATTAGAAAGGATATTTTGACATAACGTAAGCCTTAGCGTGTTTTTTGAAAAATATCAGCGTCATAAACTTAAGGTCCGAAGGTAACTGATTATACAACTTATAAATACAGTATGAAAAAGATTGTTCATACTGAGAAGTGATGTGACATGGAGGACTTATCAAATTCTTGCTTCTCACATTGACATTATGTGATCCAACCCTCAATTGAACTTTACTACACAAATACTGTGGTACTTGACTCACCATCACTTTATGATATAGTACCAAACAGTGAAGTATAAAATTCACCCTAAGACTCACAAACCCGTTACAACGAGTATTATTTCTTGCAGATAATCCATCCAACAGTCTAGTGCAGTGGTAGCAAGGACAAGCTTTTTCAAGTAATATGCATATGTGTCAGTAAGCGAAAACCTTTTTTACCTGGATATACTAAAATGACTAAGCCACCAACTCCCGTTATAACATCCTGTCTTACCTTAAACGATCTAGCGCGTGTGGTGACAAGCATCACTTTTTTCAACTGGCACGCACATATATTTGCACCAATGTCGGTATAATTATGTCTCTTTGTCTTTTCATGTATTGATAAAGTCAAGTTTTTTTTTTTGGAGATTCCTTTTATGTTTGTACAACTTGTAAGCCCACACCCGCTTTTGTTCTAGTTATGGTAATCAAATGGGATGACTAAGCAGCGTTGGGCACCCTTGCACATGCAATTGTGCATAACAAATGGCATCCAGTAGGTTGACTCAGATTGAACCCTCTAAAAAAAAATTAGATACCAACATGTACAATAGAGGGATTAAACTTAACAGGTCCGTACAATTAGTCCAAGTTTCAAGATAACCAATTATAACAAAATAGAAATCATGTTAGCAATAATCTAAAATGAAAACTGTTACAAAAAAATATGAGATTCTAGTCATTTTGCTCTAAATGTTTAACTGCTGGAGTTTGTTCACATCGAGAAACTAGATCAATACAATTTATCTCCTTAATTTTGTGACTGATGTGATCTCCTCTAGGAGTTCCACAAATCAGACGCGTGCATGAATTTTGCATGAATTGAATTCGATCATTGTCAGCTTTAGTTATACAGGAATGATAAACAACGTCACAATGATTAAACGTAGAAAGGACTAAAGAATCGCACAGAGTACGTTTCCAATTATGGCTCAATATCCTTCTTTAAGCATAAATTAGTTTTAATTTAGGAGATGATGCCCTAATTTTATTTGTGATGTGGCCATGAAAACGGAGGTCATTATCAATTAGGACGCCAAGATTTTTGACACTATCCTCTAAAGGTATAAGCTTACCATCCAACTCTAAGCTGATAGAACTAGAAATATCATTCCGTGCTTTTCTCCTACCAAAAATGATAGCTTTTGACTTATCCGGATTTAAGACTAAGCAATGGTTTTTAGAGGCTATGCATGTAAAGAGCAAGTCTTAAGGCATGCGTGCAACTGTGACGTATAAATAATATAGAAAAGAGGCCCTAAAATAGAGCCTTGGGGTACACCACTGATGAGAGTTTTAGGTTCAGAAAAAATCTTGTTGATTTTAACAATTTGTTTACGGGTAGATAAATAATTTTGAATCAATTTCACAGATTCACTAGAAAAACCAATAAAATGCAATACTGCAAGCAGTAGCTGATGGTTCAGCTTATCAAAAGCTTTCAAGTAATCTAATAATATCAAAGCAGTTAACTCATTTTTATCAGTTGCTTCTATTATGTCATCAGTGATCTTTAGCAGTGCAGTAGCACAGCTGTACCCTTGCCTAAATCCTGACTGATGTTCAGGAAGTATTTTATTAGTATTCAGGTAATAACGAATTTGCCGATCAAGAATCTTCTCAATAACTTTAGAAAGAGTGGGCAGTATACTTATTGGTCTTAAATCCTTGAATTCATTGGGACTGTCATGTTTTGGAATTGGTGTGACATGAGAAATTTTCCAAGAATCAGGAAACACTGAAAACTCAATACACGTATTAACTAGGTGAGTTATTACGAGTAAAATACGGAGACAACAATATAATAACATATCAATCCCAATATTATCAACACCAATGGCCTTTGACTGGATTGACTTTAAGGTATCTGCAACTTCATCTATACAAGTCATTGTGAAATTGAAGTTACTCTTCAAGTTATATTTTTTACTATTTAAATATCTATTTAGTGTTTCAGAATCAGGGGTTAAGCTAAGTCTTTCAACGTTATTTAAATGTTCAGGTATAATTGAACTGTGGTCCCTCAGCGTGCCCAACGATTTCAGAGCCCGCCATTTCTTTCTTGGGTAGCAAAAATTTTCAGATGTTTGTAAGATTCCCAGTTTTCTTTACATTTTCTATTTTTAAACTTATCTAAAGCCTTATCTCTTAATGAGAAAATCAATTTGAGATTTTCCGTAAGCCAGGGAGCTTTTCTCCTTGTAACTCTCACAGTACGGACAGGTGCATGTTTGTCAAATAAATCCAAAATATACCTATCGAAAAGCTTAAGTTTTTCATCTATACCTTTTGGTATAGTACATGCTGTGAAAATCAATCTGGTTCAGATCTGCAGTAAAGACATCCAAATTAAAATGCTTGTAGTCCCTATACGTAATAAATTTATGGCAAAGATCAACATCCTTAAAAGTAAAATGACACTCAGTTAGCAGGTGATCTGATACATTTATGACATACACTGAAACCTTGGCAGTTTGTAGTTGATTAGATGCAATAATTAAATCTAAGAGAGACTCGTTCCTACAACTATAACGAGTTGGCTCATTAACCAGTTGAGACAATTCATAACTTTATAGTATGTTATGCAACTGTTCAACATCAACATTTTTCTGTGACAATAAATTTATATTAAAATCGCCAGCACATATGAACTGATCACAGCTGATCAACAAACTACCAATAGCTTCTTCAAATTCATTAAGAAAATCTTGCATTGATGACAAGCCAGGTGGCCTATAAACGACTCCTATGACCATTTTCACTTCATTCAACTTAAACTTGATAAACAAGGCTTCAAACGTATGAAAATTACTTGGACATACCTGAACATGCTGAATTCGAGTACTCAAGTATATTGCTACCCCACCGCCTCGACCAGCCCTGTCATTCCTAAGTATTTTATATCCTTCAATAGCCACTTCACTGTCTGATACGGTACCAGATAACCAAGTTTCACTAAGGAACAGAAAAGTAAAATCCTCCTGTAACACATGCGTTTTCAAAGTTCCAAAATGTGGTAAAAGTGAACGTACATTAACATGCGCCAGTGATATGTTTTTTAAAGAACTAGCCATAATTGATTCTACTTTTCAAATAGGAAAGATAATCATGATACAAAGGACATTGCTTGTCTGTGGCAGAGTGATTCAGATGTAGCTTAGCTTTATATTTATCATTATATATAACCAATTGCAGCACTTCACTTCATCTGATTTACAATCCATAACAGGATGACCCTCAGAACACTTTGAACAAGTCAAAGAACCTCGACAGTTCTGCTGATAATGACCAAACTTGCATTTACGACACTGCGTGACAATCAAATTATCACCAACACTACATTTTTTCCAGCCAACATATGCAAATCCCTTATCCACTAGGCGTTTTCTCAGCGACCTCCAAAACAAGATTATGATGATCCTTTACAGCAGACTTTAGCTTTACAACAATCTTGATATCTGATGCATCAAAGCCATCCAAATCATTTGCAGAAATGAAGTTATCTATGAGCGAACTATCCGTTTGATTATCAAGCTTAACATTACGGATCATAATTCTAGGATTTAAGTTTTGCGACTGATCAACTGTATATTTGTTTCCTAATTTCGACGTAACGATATTTTTCAACTTTTCCAAGTCTGCTGCTTCATTACAAAAAACAGCAGCTCCATTTTTTATTCTCTTAGTTCCATTAAAGCAAATATTAAATTCTGCAGGATTGATAGCTTTAGTTAGAATTTTCATGACATCATGTTGGGATTTCCCATCTTTCGTTTTAACAAGAAGAACTGGTGACTCATTACCTGTATTCCTTTTCAAAACACTGCTATATGTTTGGCTCGTTTGTTGCTCACCTGACCCTGGCACAAAAACAGCAACATCCTTTTTACTGGCAGAATGGGAATTCAAATTTGATTGCAATTCTTGAACCTTAGATATAAGCAGGTTATTTGATAATCGCATCTCAGTTACCATATCCTCATATAATTGTTTTTCACGCTTGAGACACTCAATTTCCTTAAGATGTAGCGCCAGAATGCCAGAATTCGATAATTTGTCTTCAAGAATTTGCTCAAAGTCACCACAGAACCAATAAATGCAATCAATTTTGGTTAACACTTTATATGCATCATCCTTCAGGTTAACACACACATGATGGTATAACTTTTTGCAGTTTTTGCACTCAACAAACTTAGTTTTTACAACAAAATTATCAGAGCAACGCGAACGCAGACTAACATCGGCCGCCATCTTCTCAATAATAATAAATCGTCTTTATTTAGGGGGCGAAGTTTAGCATAATGCTACTCTGCCACTTAAGCCAAAAAAAAGAGAAAAAATTGAAAAAAACGATACAAAACCATAAATACATTTGACAAGTTAGAAGTTTAAAAATGTAAGGGTATAAAAATTATGATGTATATAACTTTGAAGTTGAGTCATTAATTTTCAGATAATGATTGTAGAACGAAGATAAACCAAAGTATGTGTGTAAAAATAAAAAAAAAATGTTACCTAGTTTTATAAACTATCCTCCCGACAAGTAATTCAGTGCGGACCTGTATTTGATCGTGCGGTCTTGGAGCACCGGCATGCCCTCCCCTGTGAGGTCTTAAGTCACCTGATTCACGAGCCCTTTGTACTACATTAACAAAGGCACGAGGTGGTTGGTTGCACTCGATTGGGAAACCGATTCGCATAAATCCGTAAATAAGAATCATGTCCACAAGTTCAGCATTTTCGTAAACATGTGCCATTTCGTTTGAGCCACGCAACAAACACCACTATTCACTCACACGTTACCGACTGACACATTGACTGAATAAAAACATCGTGATAAACGTTTCAAATTCTTTCGCTTTTTTGTTTCCGATGCGATGAACCGATAAGGCGGATTATATCCGTTGTTGCCAAACACGAGCACATAATATTATTATTGAGACAGGCCGGTACTCAAACTTCCAAAGGGCTATAACTTTGTTACTTTAATTTTACCAGAAAAATGTTAAAGGAAAAAAAACATTTCTTTTGATCAGATCTACTCACTGTTAAAATAAATGACTCAACTTCGAAGTCACCCTGTATAAGTAAAGCCTATTCAATATTTCATGAGTTAAAAGTATAAAATTGTGACAGTTATACAAAACAGAGGAATGCTATATTGGAAATATTTTTGTGTGAGGTGACAGATAAATTTTATCAAATAATTTATATACATCTATTCAAAATAAATTTCTTCATATCTCTTTTAAATTCATCATATGATAGCAATTTTGTGGATCGAGGTAAAGCATTGTAAAAAATAATTGCGTTGTAGGTGAAGCATTTACAAAAGAATGATGTTCTATGAAGGGACATTGTGAGTGTTTTAGTGAATCGAATGGCCCTAGAATGGAAATTGCTTCTCGGTATCAGCTTATTTCTCAAAAACGACGGAATGGATGATAGCAAAAGCCTGTGGGTGTAAGTCACTAAGTGTAGCTCACACAGTTCATTTACCCTCAACCACTTCATGTCATTGAAAAAAGTGCTGATATGATCATATTTTTTCAAATTATTGATCAATCTACAACATGAGTTTTGGATTTTTTGGAGACGTGCTAGAGATATTGAGTCAAGAAATGGAAGATAAACTAAATCGTAATAACTAATTTCGGACATTAACAAAGATTCACTCAAAATTTTTTAGTTGTAAAGTCAAGAAATTGTTTATTAAGATATAATTGACGTAAAATTGAAAAAACAACTCTTACTGATATTATTTAAAACCCTTTGTGTCCGGAATTAAATAATTTTAGGATTTTCACTTCATGAACCTAGTTCCGAACCTAAAGGATGTAAAAGAACGTCAAACATTTTGTGAAAAAAATGTATTACACATATTTTTTTGAAATAGTGGTGGTCACCCGAACGAACCAGTAGGACCACCAAACAAAAACTTTTACCAAAGAAACAAAGCATTATCTTTCCACAACATGAGGCTAATCGACATTATGATATGCAAGAAAACAATTCCTCTTGTCATTCAGGCATAAACCTACATCGCAAATCGTGCAACTCCACATATTCCTATGAGCTTCCTTTTTCGTGCTGCAGATGACGCATCGTCCGGAAGTTCCATATATAGGCATGTGAGCAGATTTTTCTGTCCTTTTTTAAATGGGAACGTATTGTTTATAATGATTTATGGGTTCCATTGATTTTCGACCTTTTTTCTTGGTAATGCATCCCGACGCAAGTCCGGAAGAGACATTTATCCTGAACTGTTTCAAATCGAGAGTCGAACCGCAGCAGCGTTTTTGAAACAAAATGTACGCGTTGACTACCGTAGTATCGACAAAGTGACAAACTATCCTATGGAACCACGTCTTGCTTTTTCGATCTATCGCGTAGCATTCTTTTAGCATGTCCGCCTTATCGACGGCACCCATATGTTTATTGTAATCCACAACCAAAGACGGACAAGTTACTTCTGACACAGTTCCATCTTTATTCTTTCTATTGATTGTTATGGTAATTTGACAAGAAATAAACAGGTTTTTTGTCTTTCTATTTTAGACATACCAACATATCATTTGTCATTCTCCAGTCATATTGGCCTCGCGCTAGTTTTTTATCATCGATAAAGTCATCTGGCAAATATTTTTCCCTTTTCTCAAAGTGCCACAACCACATAATTCCATTTTGTTTCAAGTAGCTGAGCAGTGGAACATTTGAAAAATAGTTGTCAAAAAAAATTCTATAATTTTGTTGTTGCAAATCTCTTGTCACTACTCTTCCTCCGAAATCTTTTTGTGGGAAGTCACCAATCTTACCAGAATATATTTGAAATTCGCAAATATACCCTGAATCATCAGCCCGCACCCAAACTTTGTATCCACTCCATTTATTTTTTTCTGTAAAAAAAAATAAATGACCGTTACCGAGTGGTTACCTCAAGAAACCACTACATATTACATGGAACAAAACCCAGTCAGATGGTAAATTGATCAATTGAGTCGGAAGGTATGAAATATTGCAGTTATAAAACTAAATACTGACGTGTCATTTCAATTTTCACTCAGTGTGTTCACGTTTACAAACAGCCGAAAAAAGACCTTTCGCAACCTTCGCAATGGATAAAGGAACTTCACGGAATACACACTTCCTCGCACGGGGCAGAGCCGTAAATTTTTTCCCGATAGATGTCACTAACGGTAATACTTTTAAATCGCGGTAAGGCTACCCGACCAGTAGGACTGAAATTACGTGTTTTAATATGGGTGGTTACATGGATCGACCAGTAGAACGGAAAGGGTTAAATGTGGTATAAAATGTTGACATTCATCTAAAGTTACGCCCAAGCTTGCCACTGACTCTTTTACTTCCATAGTCTCACCATTTAATTTTACTTTAAAACTTCTCATGGCATCACTTCTTGATGGTTTTGGTGAAAACATGATGACTTCCGATTTTAAAGGGTTCAACTAAAGGTTATGATTTTTTGCATACATACTAATAGATGTTATATCTTCATTTATCTCAGATTCAGCATTTAGAATGTCGTGATTATTGAAATGACTGGAGATCTGTGAATCGTCGGCAAAGAATTCGATATTACAATATTTAACACCTGAGTGGAGATCAGAAATATAAAAAATGAATAGGAGTGGCCCAAATACAGACCCTTGAGGTACTCCGGAGGAAATGAGGCACTTTGAAGATAGAACCATGTCAATGTGTACCCTTTGATATGGATCTCCTAAGAAGCTCTGAATCATTTTTGAGGCAGGATCAGAAAAACCAAAATATTTACACTTATTTACTAGAAGTCTATGACTTATGGTATCGAATGCCTTAGAGAGGTCAAGAAGAACTAATGATGTGATCATATGTTGATCCCAGGCTATAAGAATGTTATCGGTTAAGTCTAGTAGGGCACCTGCAGTGTTATATCCTTTTCGACCACCGCATTGTTTGGGAGGCAAAATTTTATGTTTAGAGAGATAATCGTAAATTTGGGAATACATTGCTTTTTCTAATAATTTGAACAAAACAGGTAAAATACTAATTAGTCTTAAATCTGAATATCATTTTGGTTTACTATTTTAGGTAGAGGTAACTCTAACTAATGCTTCTTTTCATGATTCTGGGGAGAATCCCCTTTCTAAACAGGTATTTATGATGTGTAAAATGTGACCTGAAGTCGCAAAAAAGCATAGTTTTAGCATTCTGAGTGACACGCCATCACTTCCCAAGGCATTCGATTTCAGAGACTGGAACATCGATTTTAAATCAGGCATGCCGATTGGTTTAAACCTGAATCGATCACTAGAATAGTGGTGAACAATATCCTTTATAATCAACATATTGACTCCTGTTAAAAAGATACGAGTTTAACAACGACAACAGATCTTCAGAGAACCCAAAAAAACTCAGTTTTTTCAATAGGATACCTAAATCTACTCTATCAAATGCCTTTTCTATATCCATATAAATGACATCAACCTGGCTTCTGTCATTCAAGGTTTCGCAAATGCTTTGTGACAAGCAAGCCGGATTAGTGATACATGATTTCTTAACGACAAAGCCATGCTGATCGATAGGCAATGAATCTTTCGTTGCGGCAAAAATAAACGTGTAAAGTATTATTTCAAATAATTTTGCAAAATTACAAGATTTTGAAATAGGCCTATAATTATCAATTTACGCTGGGTCACCTTTTTTCAATATCGGAGTAACTCTAGCTAGATTCCAAGCCTCTGGAAACGAGCTGGACTTCAGAATTAGGTTATAAATGTAAACTAAGGGTTGTAACAACGGAATAATGCAATCTTTAACTAGAAAACTAGGTATCTGATCAGGCCCTATGATTAGTATATTCTTCAATTTCTTGGACGATGCGACGTACATGTACATGTTAGATGACATATAACATACATCATAAAAAACCATGTCACTCATTTCCGCTGGACTGTCGGTCAGTCTGTCTGTCC